GCAGTTCAAAACCACCAGCCGCTCTGTGGAAGAAAGATGGGGCTCCCAACGGCCGGAAAGAGCTAGTCTCAGAAACTCACAGGGGCAGTTCCACCCTGTCCTATCAGGTCACTACGAGTCGGCATCGACTCGATGGCAGTGAGTTTGGATTTTGGATTACCTTCCCACTACGCTCCCTCACAAGGCTCCTGATATTTGGCCAGTGACTCCACCCTAGGTCTCAGCAGGGCCCACTATGCCGGTTTCTCAGGCCTTGACAAGCCTTTGTCTATTACACCAGATGGACCAGGACTAGGCCCCACCACATTGTCCTGAGTCCCAGTTGGAAAACCTCCCAAAGCCACCTCTCCTGACCCCACCTACTCCCTCCAGCATTCCCATCACCTATCTCTGTTACACCCCACCCACTTCTGCCTCCAGCCTTATTACACAGTGATTGCCTACAATTCCCTTATCTCGGAGCTTTCCTGGGTAGGAAGCTGATCTTGGGGATGACCACACAGTACCTAGCTACAAAAATGGGTCTTCTCTTGTCCCACGTGGTCCTGGTCCCTCAAAGAGACAAACCATGTGGCCAGTTGCAGGCTGGGTGACTCCAGGGCAAGTCACTTCACCCTTCTGCACCTCTTTTCTCTTGGGGATTGGCCTGTAAAGCATTTTGCACAGTGCCCAGCTAATATCCGTCATAAAGACTGCCGTTCTTAGACTGAAAATTACTACAGACTTGGACTAGCAGATCTGAAAGGGCCCTTGAAGATCAAGTCCAACCCTCATCTTGTACAGGCCAAGGAAGAAGACTCTCCCCAGGTCACAGCGCATGATGACAGAGCAGGGTCTGAGTTCCAGGGGCAGCTGTGGTATTCAGAGCAGGGGACCTGGAAGTCTCCAGTTGTGAGAGGGAAGCCCTGGGCCCTGAACTGGACGTGAATTAGAGTCCTAACTTGCCTGCCATGACCCAGAGGGAGTCATCTCCCTTTCACAGGCAAATGCTTCTGGAAGCACCTCACAGTACACATTCTCCCCGTGGTTTTCTGAAGACCTGCCAATCTCTGCCGCCTGCCTCTCCCCTTTCAGATCACTGGACACACTTTTCTGGAACTCTTTGGAGCCCTGGTGGCACAACAGGCTGTTAACCGCAAGGGCGTCAGTCTGAGACCACCAGCCGCTCCTAAGAAGAGGAGATGTTCGACCCCCATAATAATATCAGTCTTGGGACCCAGAGGAAGGGTCTTCTCTGTCCTACAGGGTCACTATGAATCAGAATCGACTCGATGTCAGTGAAATGGCTTTACTGTCTGTCATCCTGGCTGAGCAGGGACTGTGTCCCCCTTACAGTGATGGGCACAGAACAACAACTCCATAAAAGCTTGCAGGGTATGTGCACTCAAACCAAACCCCCTGCCAGGAAGCTCACAGTGACTCACAGCAATCCCGTACTGGCTTCTCGAGACTGAAAAGATTCATGGGAGAGACAGCACCATCTTTCTCCCAAGGAGCGACTGGTAGGCTTGAACCAGACCTTGTGGTTAGCAGCTCAATGCTTCATCCACGATTGACTAACAAGCTGCCTATTATATGCCAGGAAGCCCCACTCTGCTCTCTTCACAACGTACCAGGCACCAGGCAGCACTGGGCTCTGTGCGGTCTACTGATCGCCTCACCACTGAGGGAGGGGCAGCCACTGAGTCTACCTACAGCTGAGAACAAACCGACCTTCAGAAAGGACGGGTCACCTGCCCAAACTCATATAGCTAGAGACTTTCGATTTGAACCCAGGGCCACCTAACTCAAGCATGGTCTCTCCCCAGCCCGGCCGGGCCCTGGCTGCTGGCCCACCACTCACACTGGTAACACTCGGCCCGGCCGCTCTGCAGCACGATGGCTAGGACCAGCGTCAGCTGTGGCGTCGTCTCCAGGAAGGTCTCAAAGAGCCGCAGCATGCTGATGTCCATGGAGAGGAAGTCGGCGTAGGCCAGGTCAAACTCGGTGGGCACCTCCTGCCGCCACACCAACAGCCCCTGCCGGAGGCCCTGTACACACCTAGAAGCCAAACAATACAGAGGTCTACAATGGGAACGCCGGTGAGGTATCCACACCTTAATCAAGCACCTGAGATTTCGGAGGCAGCATCTGTCCAAGGACAAAGTGGAGAAGAGTTAGGGGAAGAGGAGGCGTGGAGGTGGGAGACACAGGGAGGGGTGGATGAACGGTTTATGTACATGAATTGTTGGCTGGAGAAATAATCTGTTCTGGAAAACTTCACCCGATTTTAATAAAGCGTTTAAAACGAAAGTGTGTCCAAGCTGGGGAGGGGGAAGGGCCAGAGTGCGATCTAGATGGGAAGCAGAGATTTTATTTATGCACAAGTATGAAAAAATATCAATAGATACTCATTCAGCCTACAGTGGGAGCCCAGAAACTGCCTTTGAAATAAGCCTCCCTGATGAGGATGATGTTGATGATGATGCCAATGCCAATGTCAGTGGTGAGCAAACCCACTGTGTGACAGAGGAGCCCTGCGGGCCCCAGGGCGTCACTGGTGCCTGAGCCCAGGCAGCAGAGGCCAGCCGACCAGCTGCCTGTGGGACTCAGGCTGGCAGGAATAGGAGGGAAAATGCCTGATGCTGTTCCATCTGTCCAGTACTGCACTTGCTGGGTCCTTTCCTTCCCGCCCATCTGGCCTTTTCGTCAGGCCTGTCTGGCTCCTTGTGAGGAGCCTGGCAGTGGGTGGTTATGTGTTGGGTTGTTAACTGCAAGGTCAGCAGTTCAAAACCGCCAGCCACTATGCAGGAGAAAGGCGGGAGCTTTCCATTCCTGTAA